TCTCTCATGGTTCGTCTACCCCTCCGATTTCCCCTGCTTCATTCTTCCCCTCCTGCTACCTTCAGAAGCTGAATTCTTACCCTTAAAACTAAGCCCATATATTTGAGTCTGCATGTTCAAGAGCCAAAGGTGTATCTGGAGTTGTCTGTATTAACTTCCCTCTTGAATATAATATTTATTAAGTGGTAAGTAATAAAATGTGCTTGAGGCTTGCATATACATTATTAAAAATTCATACTGATATCAACATTTGTTAAAATTTAGACCAACAAAAGGCTTTTTTTGGTGGAGGAATGTTTTTTTCACTGATACTGTTTAGAATTGCTGGTGCGTGGCAATAATAAAAGCATCTACTTTTAGTTGCTTTTGCTGGCTTTCTGATTTTCTGCACTCACTGCCCACCCCCCTTATTTCTTATACATGAATGGACTGCTCCCACCAACTTGCCCTTGTTATGCCCATGACCATGATGACTTGGGCTTGTCATTAGATGTCTCATATATCTGTGTCTACACGGATTTTCCATAGTTTCCATAGTTTTCCATAGTTTGATGGAGGCAATTGAAATACCCTTAAAATGAAATACCCTTAAAAACATAAGTAACGTCTTGGCAACAGGAGCTTGGAAATTTGAGAGCTCCAGAGAAAGAAACAAAAGTGCTAGCTGGCAGAGATGACTGAGGTGTTTGCACCAGCCCCCTGCAAATCACCAAACAGCTAAGTGTTTCTTTTGCAGTTATAGAACAACACATACAAGGAAAGAGATCTCTTTAATTGGTAGCTTTACCCTCCTTTACTCTGATGATTTAGACTATTAATGGGAGGAAGCTCTTGTGGCTTTAGTGTGAAATAAGATCTCTCCTATCTAACCTAGCCAGGCTCTGAAAATGTGGGGTTGAGTGCCAACCATTGCATAATATGGATATAATAACCTCAATGTAAATTTAATAAAAATCAGGCCCTAAGGCCTTTTGATTCATTAAAGCAGCAGCAAATGTCATGGCATATTATCACAAGGTAATGAGCAATGATTTAGTGTTAATTACATTTCAATGTCCGATTTGTTTGTACTTTCTGGTACTGTATTTTGTCCTTCAGGTTATACAAAAATGTTTTAAATGCAGATGGTATTTAATTTGATGAAAATTTAAAAGTCCATTGATATAATTGTTTGCCATACACTTTTTCACCAGGTTGAAGAACATATACTTTTTGAAACAAGAAGGATTTTATAAAAAATTTTAAAGTACAAGACTTCATATTTTTCAAAATATTGTAATTTATTATTATTATTTAAAAGAAAAAAAACAAATTGAAATGGATCTTGCATTTCTTATTAACAGCTACACTCATCCTATGCCTTTTCTATAGATAAAATTTTCACCCTAAGGGGTTCATAACAAGATACTTCTACAGATCAGCTACTTATAAAGGAAATGATCTTTAAACAGAATAGATTTCTCTTCCATCCCTAAGGAGTATTTCTCTATAACCATCTGAACAGAAGCTTCCAAAGTTGACATATCTATATTGTTCAACAGGGAACAAGAAGTCTCCATGAAATTTTCAATCCATTTCTTTCTGGGTCACTTCCAGCTAAGACGTATGAATTATGTAGCCTTGAGATTGGTCCATATTCTATGAGAAACAAGACATTTCACAGTGTCAGGTCTTAGTGGAACTGTTTCAAATGAGACTGAGGGGGAAAAATGAGATATTTTGACAATTATCTCACAATGGCTGTGAGGATGGAAACATATTTTGAAGTGGGTGAGGAGGAGCAGAGGGGAATGGCTGTTGAGAGTCAGTGTGGTGTAGCAGAAAGAGCCTATTGCTTAGAACCCCAGGTGGATTCAAATTTCCATCCAAGTTTAATCGTGAGCATGTTCTTCACCCCCTTAGTGCTTACTTATGCAAAATGGGGTTTATGATGCCCATATGCCAATCAGATGTATTTGTCTACAATTAAATAAAATTTGATTTGAACTGGTAGACACAAGGATGGGGATTCACTGGTACTGGGACATGTGACTAAGTCCAGAATTGATGAGACACTTTATTTCTGGTTGGTTTCATCAGTTTCATAATGTTATCTGGATTCAATTTATTTCTCTCCCTGCACTGACTTCTGAATACCTTCTTCAGTCTAAAGCTAGCTCTCCTTCAAGGGAGAGCTACATTTCAGCTGATGGGTGAAACTCCTGATGTGCAACATCTGAACACCTCTGACCAATGCCTCTGGCCATGGAAGTAAGGATTGCAGAGTGGTTTTGCCAGGGTCCACTTTTACACCTGGATGGGGTTGGAGTGGGGCGGGGGGTGGGGCTAACTCTCTCTAAATTCTATAAAGGAGGAAAAGTAATGTCCCTCTTAACTTCTCAGTTCTTGGCTGAGACCCCTGTAATAAAAGACAGAGTAACAAGAGAAAAACTAAACAGAAGTTTACTAACCTTCACACATTGTGTGTACATGGGAGATGCACTGAGAAAAATGAGTAACTCAAAGAAGTGGCTTAGAACTATAGCTTATTATATAGCATGTTCAACAGAGAATGATAAATTTATGGAGAAATAATAGACAAAGGAAGCAGCTTTAGGTTTCCAAGAGTAGTGATAAAGGCTGGTTAGTAAAGTTTGTTATGCAGATCCCTCTGGTGCCATCTCTAGACTGTTAGGGTCTAAAGTTGTCTCCAGGGGTGCCTGGGTGGCTCAGTCAGTTAAACATCTGCCTTCAGCTCAGGTCATGATCCCCAGGTCCTTGGGGCAAGCTCCATATCTGGTTCCCCGCTCAGTGGGCAGTCTGCTTCTCCCTCTCCTTCTGCCACTTCCTCTGTTTATGCTCTCTCTCTCTCTTTCTCTATTCCTCTTAAATAAATAAATAAAATTTTAAAAAAATGAAGTTGTCTCCAGGCAATTAACTTTTGTCCTCCTGGTAGAGAAGGGAGGAGAGTCATCTTTGTAAATTTATGTCCTGCTTTAAACAAACAGGGGGAGAGCAGGGAGCTTTCCATGCCTCTGCTTCTTCTCAATTGCTTTCAGCTCAAAATCGTCCTGATTTTAAAATAGCATATTCTGGAGTGGTGTATTTTGCGAGTTTTCAAGCCCATGGAAGAAGTGAATGAGATATACATATTTCATATATATATATATATATGTATATGTATTTGTTATATGATATACATATTTATATGGGGGAAAAAGAGAGAGACTTGAGTTGTGATGCTCAGCAGTATCATATCAAGAAAGTACCAAAAAAAAAATAATATTACCAAATAATCCTCAGAGATGATAAAATTAATACTACTAATAATTAAATTTATACATTTATATAATATAAAATGTAACACTAAAACTAAATTGTTTAGTGTCTACTCTGATTAGACACTGTATTAAATGCTTTTCATTTATTATTCATTTTTTTCAAACAATCCTATTGATGATCATCAAGATACTGCACTATGATTTTCATTGTTCAACTCCTAGTCCAATGTATAGATGAGGAAGGCGACCCTAAGGAAACTTAGTAACACACGTAGAGTTACACAGCTAGTAAGAGCCAAAATCCAGGATCAACCTACCTTTCTTCCTTAGTGCAACTCCCTATTCTGTTTTGCAAGACTGCCTCAAAACCCAAGAATGTTAGGATTCAGAAAAAAATAGAATTACTTTTCTCCGTGATTTGAAATGTAAGACATTCAGGAAGTCCTCGAAATTTTAAGTAAAGTGTATGTCCTTTTTTCTAGAGTTGCCTTATCTCCAGAAATGTTTAATGATATGTCATGTAGTTCATATTTCCCTTTTTATAGATGTATGCACAGAAGATCAGAGAGGCTAAGTGACTTCTTCTTTGTCCATAAATGGTCCCTGGGATCTGTCTCATGCCCAACATGGGGTCAGGGCACAGGACATAGACACGAGGTTCTAGGAAGGGAGAGCATTATATAGGAGCCTCTACTCAGAAAGCCTCTCATCTTCTAAAAGAACTTGGTAGACATTCTCTTGAACTTACAGCACTTTCCCCACTTAGCACGTCCCTTCTTTGTCAATCTTGAAAGTACACTGTGAGCTCATTGGGTTTCATTCATCTATGCATTCTCAGGGTCGAACACAAGACCTGGATTGGTAAAAACCTACTGAAGGGCTAAATGACTCTATACTTTTGTCTTGAACCACAAGGGAGTAAATGATGAGGGAAAATATTTGTCAGACAGGTGGGAGAAATAAAGGCCAGGGGGTAAATTCATGTTGGAGCTAAGGGCTGACACAGGGCTCCTGGTTTTCCCCTCCAGGGCCATTCGTAATTCACCATCTCTCCAGCAAAGGAGAGCAGACTTTGTTTTGTGTCAGGTCCCCATCCTCAGAGTCACTAGGCAATGTTGGAAGTATCACTTATTTACTTATGTTATTATTATTCAGTTGTTTCCAGGTACCTCTATTATATATTCTAGCTTTGACCCCCCAGGGGCACAGCATAAGTTTGAGGGAAGAATATTTTTTTTTTTATAGGAAGAGTGGGTTAAAAATGAGCTCCGGAGACACATCACCTGGATTTAAATCTTGATTCTCCTCCATCTGGGTTGGAGCAACTTGTCAGCTCAGTTCCCTCAGCTGCAGTATGTTACCTGTCTCATAAGAGTATAGTGATGCTTAAAATATTAAGGAGTTCATTCATGAAAAATGCTTAGCAGAGTGTCTGGTTTGTGGTAAGCACTCAATAAACATTAGCTCTGATTACTGCATTTTACTGATTGTCCCCCAGTTCTAGGAGGAATAGGCTGAACAAAGTATGTTTTTAATAGTGACCTAAATAAAATTAAATAGTAATAATTAAAAATATTTTTCAAGGAAGTTAATGCCTTGGTATAAACCAAAAAAAAAAAAAAATCCAAAGAAAATTACAAACTTGTATTTAGTATGTGTGGTGTAATGTTTTAATGAATGAGCCTTTGGTTGAATGAGAGCTTCCTATATACAAGCCATGGTGCTAGGTGTCCAAAAAGTGAAGTGTCCGTCTAGAATTTGCAGACTAGTTGGGGAGACAGACCATAAAAAGATCATTGTACAACAGGGGGATAAATGTTGGAGCAGGGATAAGCCTGTACAGGAACCCTACCAAGGAGGGGGGTGACAGGGGGTGGTGGATAGATGCAGCAGTAGAGCAAGAGCTCCATAAAGATGTGCTGTCCATGTAGAATGTAATATCCACAAGACCAGATTTTCAGGAAGGCTTTTAGCAAAATCTTTAACATTTTTCCTCTCCAATTCTCACCAATTTTTACCTTTGTTCTGTAGAGAGAAATAAATTGAGGTCCCAGTTATCTCACAGTTAGTGTTTATTTGATCTCAAGAAGTGCAGAGCTGCAAGGTGGCATCTGTGCCCTGAATAAGAAACAGGAAATGGCTCAAAGGGCCAACTTCATTCTTATTTAATCTTTTAATTGTTGAACCCAATTTGTTCGCCTCAGTTCTGTCTCCTTTAATGCATGGGTTTATGAGCCAAAGCCATGTGGCTGAGTTGGCCAGCCGTGTCACTATAGTAATAGCAATAGCTATCACTTTGAGTACGTCTTATGTGCCAGACATGGGTCTATGAACTTCATCAGGATTAAGTCATAAACAACCTGACAGGCACTATTTTTATTCCCATTTTACAAATGAGAAAATTGAGTCATGACAAGATCAAAAACGTGGCTCCAGGGTCCACGCTTTCAAATCCCATTTTAGGGCCTCTACCTTCCTGCCTCTCTTAATTTAGGTCAGGACTCACCTTGACCAGAATGCAAAACAATTCAAGCTCTTAGTTACTTGAAATTCCACCTACTGTGGGCTTCTTATACAAAGGCTGGTTTTCTGTTTGGGTTTAAAGGCTGAGGAGGGAGTGGTCCAGGGTGCTATTTGACCTTTGGTATTACTGATAATTCAGTTGATGACTTTGTCAAATAAATACCCATGTCCTATTTTAAGTGTAAAGGAGAGGGGGCTTCCCAAGGTGCCGAGAAGGAAGGGAAGATCTGTCGTAGGAAGGCTCCAGGGACTGAAAGGGCACTGTTTTCTCATCAACATCAGTTTATAATTTGCCTCTCCACATCCTTCAGATTTAAGAAAAATTCTTATGTAATAATGGAAAATACAAAAAGACATACTCAATAGAGAAAAATGGAGAAGAATTCTACTTTTGGAGTCAGATTCTTTGTCCTGTCTGAGAAACTGAGAAAATTTTACTTCTCTGAACTTTAGTTTTTTCACCCATAAAATGGGAATAAAAATGATGCCTTTCTCATAGGGTTATTTTGAGAATTAAAATGACAGACTCTATGGTCAGTATTTAATGTAGCACTCAGCAGAATTCATTGTACCTATTGTGTTCCTGCTACTTCTCTCTCTTTCTCTCTCTCCCTCAGTTGGTATGTCACCACCACCACCATCATCATCACCATCACCACCATCATCATCACCATCACCACCATCATCATCACCACCACCACCA